CCTTATCAATTTTCTACTATTCCTGACTTCTGATTTGTATTTATTAATATCAACTTCCCCTTTCTTCCATTTGTTATTATTATTATTTATTATTTATTATAGTTGCCTTCACTTCCCCTCTAAACCAGGTCTTTTTTTTAACCTGCACACGTTCTTCCTCTATTTTTGTATTCAGAGTAACAGCCGTGTTAGTCTGTATTCGCAAAAAGAAAAGGAGTACTTGTGGCACCTTAGAGACTAATCAATTTATTTGAGCATAAGCTTTCATGAGCTACAGCTCACTTCATCGGATGCATACTGTGGAAAGTGTAAAAGATCTTCTACACTTTCCACAGTATGCATCCAATGAAGTGAGCTGTAGCTCACGAAAACTTATGCTCAAATAAATAGGTTAGTCTCTAAGGTGTCACAAGTACTCCTTTAATTTTTGTATTGTTGCTTTTTGGGCATCTGGTAAACTGTTCTTAAATGACTCCCAGTTATAATTTCACTGGCTCCAGCTGAGTTGTGCTTTCTTATACCTTTAGTGAATTTGACTCCTAAAAGACTAAAGTTCACTATGTAGCTGCTTAATAGGTCTGACATGGGCACTGCACATTTCAATGCCGCCCCACACCAGTGGGCCTCAATTTTTCTTGGGAGGGAAAATATCTAGAAATGACCATGTAAATCCAGTCTTCTTGCACATTAGTGTAAACAGCCAGTACAATGCCTATGAACCCATAGAAATTGAAACTAGATACATTCAGACTGGAAATAAGGTATACATTTTTAACTGTGCAGGTAATTAACCACTGGAACACCTTATCAAGAGTTGGAAAGGATTTTACATTACTTTCAATTTTTAAATTAAGTTTGAATGTTTTTTTCTGAAAGATATCCTGTAGTTCAAACAGAATTCTGGGGGGAAGTTCTATGGACTGTGTACTACAGAAGGTCAGACTAGATGACCACAGTGGTCTCTTCTGACCTTAGAATCATTTAAATCTATGAACAACAAAATTTCTTCTTAAGTCCTGTGCTACGGATTTAATAGGGATATAAATGGTGCACCGTCTTTATGCTGGTTCATGGAAAACGGGAAAGTTTAATCCTGAATCCCTGGCTTCTGATGAGAATTTCAGCAATTGTTTCAGTTTTCACAATAGATTTTGTGACATGGACATTGGTCCACTGGGAACTGGATTGAGAATGGATTAGTGGAGGGTACCTTCAAGAGAGCTGGCAATAGCACCCACAAGGGAATGGAACTAGTTGGATCCATTTGCTGTGTAGACAATGTGTGATCTCAGAAAAGTTGCAATGAAGGCTTGTATGCCTGAATCTTATGGGATGTGTCTCAGTGGTTCCACGTCTGGTAACAAACTGAGAATATGACATTGGGCATTAACATATTTCTCACAAGCCACCAAATAGTTATCAGATGGGGGTCTCTAAAACCTTGCTGGGTTAAAAACAGGTGGCCTGGATATAGAAGTACCCAAATGCATACAGTACTCAAAACAGTAATGCATTTGATTGTGCACAAGATTGAAAACATTAATGTAACTGCATGTTGTTTTATTCACCCATGGTATGTGGACTTTAAATAAGCTTTTTAACACACTTATCCTGTCTGTGTGGCTATGAATTTATAATGCTGCTCCTTAACATTTATATTTGTCTACCCTAAATATGCAATATTTTATTAACATGGTAATAAATATTTAATCCAGCTTTTCTGTAACATTTTTTTCAGGACATCTTGTTAACCCATGATTCCCTAAGATAACAGCAGGAAAGAGTATTTCAACAAAGTAATGCAATTCTGGACTAATTTAAATAAATAATTTTCAAAGTAGGGATGCTGTAGTGTCTATCCGCTCTGCCATTCAAGATATCCTGGTTAGAATCTCATTTTTGATTTAACATGTCATAATAGGTAGCTGGGACCAGGGAAGAGGTACTATATTCAGCCTTTGGGTTGGGAAGTGTATTTTATATGTATCCTAGGGGAGGTAGCATGGCCTGGTAGACTGAGCATTGGACTTGGATTTGAGACCTGAGTTCATTTCCTGGCCATGGCATACTGGGTGACCTTGGGCAGCTTGCTGCCCTGCCATGTGCCTCAGTTTGCCAGTCTGTAAAATAGGAATAATGGTACTGATCTCTCTTATAAGGTGTTTTGAGATCTGCTGATGAAAAGCACTATATAAGAGCGAGGTATAATTATGTTACAATATGACATATTGCCAACTCCAACCATTCAAAAATGATGAGTTAAGCTCCACTAAAAGTCATGAGATTGTTTTAAAAATCATGAGATTTTTTTAAACCACTTTGATTTTGTTTTATTAACCTTCCGGTTCTGAGCCTTTATGGTCAACTCCTTTCACATTTTCAACCATTTCCCTGAAACCTTTAGGGCTACAAAGTTACTTTTTTTCTTTTCAGTGAAAGCTGAGTTCCTCATGCAATCTCTTTGACACTGGTGAAACACCAAAATATTGTGACATGCTATAAAATCAGGAGAGTTGGCAGCACAGCTTGTTTAAGCAAGAAGTGGCATTGATGGGATTTGAGACCCCATCCAGATTCTCTTAGCAAACAGAAGTCACAAACACAAGTCTCTTAGCAAACAATGTCAATTGACCCAAGCAAGCTGAAACTCAGTCTAGTTCTGATGGTCTTTATGAGGGTTATGTACCACTTAATCCCTTAAAATAAGATTTAAGTGCGACTTACATGTTGCTGGCCATCTGCACAGAGATCAATTTCACCCCCAGGAAACACTACACCAAAAAATGCTATGAGTTTCGTTTCTGGCCGGCTGAAATGACTTTTCTAAAACTTTTATTAGTGGATAACATTCAGGCATAAAATAATCGGATGGGAGGAAACTTGATTCCACATAGTGTAAAGAAGGATTGTTTGTCTCTTACATCATATTTAATGAGAGTTCATGTTTGAAAGAAGCATCAGATATGAAATCAGGTACTGCAGTTGATGTTACTTTGGGCTTGTCTACACGACAAAATTAAGTCAACTTAAGTCGCCATACTGTCACCGCAGTAATTAAAATGGTGGTTCATGTCCACACTTGCTCCTTCTGTAGGTGGCACGCCTCCTCACCAGGAGCACTTCCACTGACTGAAGTGGGGCATTGTGGGACACTTACAGCTAAAGCCCAGCAGCCCTGGGGTTGACAACCTCAGCTGTAGGCATGGGGCTCAGAGCTGCTGCCCTCTCCCGCCGTCAGCAAGATGCAGGCTCACAGATGGACTCTTCCCACACCCTGGTGCTGACACTCCAAGCTTTCAGTGCCAGGAGCCCCAGCTGTGAGCCCAGCACCCAGCTGACAACTCGGGCTGTCAGCGTTGGGGACGGGGGGTGGGGGGAGGCCCATTCAGGGCTGACAGCCAATAGCCAATGTAGGTAACGCAGTGTCTACCCAGACACTTTGTCCCCTAACAACATCAACATAAGTGCTATGCCTCTCATAGAGGTGGAGTTATTATGTTGGTATAGAGGGCCACTTACTTTGGCAGAAGCAGCATTGTAATGTAGAACCTGACATAATTAGGTAGCCATAAACTGCCTTATGGTGACCTAACTCAGTAATGTAGGCCAAGCCTTTGTACAGTTCTGAATTATTCATATAGGATGATGAGGTTTTGGTAGGAAAGGTGTGAATCAGAAGAATCTGTTACACACTCACCTTAAGGACTCTTCTTGGACCTCATTTATTTTTCTCTTCAACATTGAAAACAATTTACTTTCTAAATACTTTACTTTATAATGCTTGCTTAATCATGATGGTTCCTTTACTGAGATACCTCATGGGGCACCTGATGAAGAGTACGAGTGTGCTATTGTATAACTGGGAGAATATGAGCAACAGTTTTGTTTAAGGGAGATATTTGACCAGTGCCAAGGTGTTACATAGTATTTATCCAGATGCTAAATAGACATGACAGTCTCATCTCTGACCTTTTAGTAAAAAAACTGCTCAATAAAGTTTTAAAAAAAGAAGAAACTGAGGTGTATTTCAATGAACATAATGTTTAATATTGTATTTTTCCATTATTGTATTTAAATATATATTAACACAATGTCCACAGATTTTTCATTAAAACTTTCTGTTCCTCATTGCCCCATCTGCAAAAGGGAGGTATTTTCCTACCTCACAAGAATAAGTTCTTAATGTCTGGAAAGCCTATAAAGATCTTTATATTTATGAGGTACTTTGGCATCATTTCCTCCTACCCGCTCACCCTTTATAAGCTCTTTCTTTGGAGTTACATGGGTTTAATAATCCATATATACTGCGGTTCCTGGTCTGGGGATGACCAAGAGGCAGCATTGTTTCTCCATTAACCACACACATTTTTATGGGTAAATTAATACAGATTGGGCCAACTTTAACATAGCTAACATTCCCTCTGCACTGTTGAATCCCTCTTTGGAGAAGAGCGGTGTTACAAGGGCAGTAGCTAACTTGCGGCCTGGAGGGCTGATGTTCCATGTCCCTTTGGTGCATGGATCTCTTTGGTTTTATCCTCTAAAACTTCTTGTTGTTCTGTGGGGCATGCAGACCCTGATGCTACATGAGAATCATATTGTTTGAAATCGTTTCCATGCATTATTTTCACAAAGGGGATGAGCTGGCCAATAATTGTCCCCTGGGTAGTCCCAATTAAGACCAAGTTAAGACATTCACAAGCTATTTTTATCAACCTGTCTTAGCCTGCTACAAGATGGCTCCCTAGAGGATATCCTCTTATCCTATTTTAAATTACTGTAGTGATTGGCATCTACTAAAGCTGGGCAAACAGTCTGCAGAGAAAGGCACACAAAATCAATCGGGCTTTGTCTTGTGCAATTGCAAATATCAGCCATGTGCTTGGACCATTGGCTGATGTTTGGCTTTGTGAATTCTGCCTACATTTTCCTCTGCTTTATTTCACCCCATATCTCTTCACTGTTTCCTTTTGTAACCTCTCTCTTTTTCTCCTTCTCAGCAATGACAATGCAGTTCATAAGCCATCGGTTCCCTGATTACCATGATCCAACCATAGGTGAGTACAGATTGTTCTTTTCTTTATTCCATCCAGTCTGGCTGCTCTATGAGATTTACCCCAGTAGCTCTCAACCTGTCCACACTGGGATCCCTTTTCTTTAGTGGGATTCCCCTTGCAATTAGCAAGATGGGAATAGCAGGGCCATGGCAACCATCTAGCAATGCTTTGTGAAGTGCCTGGGAGTTATAACTTTCAAACTGAGAATATTTGTTTGATGGTCATTTGGTTGGTCATGGTCATGTGATAGACAGTTGGTCCTCAGATGATGGAGTCTCATGTTGATGATTCAGCCCACACTATTGGTGAACACATATATGCGAGGTCAGATTAATGCAAGAACCAGAAACACTGCTACATGTAGCACAGACAGGATTGTCCATGACCACTGCAGGCTGTTGCATCCTTGCTTTGCACTGTTCACCTTTTCCACATTATGTCTTAATGCACCAGGTTTCAAAGTGGTTAATGGTTGCATGCCACATCTGCCACCACCTTGCTCTGTCACCAGTGGCACCAAACAATGTTGCATGCTGGTTCCCACACTCTTTTTTCACATACTTTGATGGATGCATTTCAGGGCATCAACAGAGGAGTATTTATCCATTCTTCACTGATGGGAAGTTGTTCCCATGCCCACATGAAAGAGGCAGATTTAGTTATTAAGGAGCCTTTATTTGCTGATGACTGTGTACTGGTTGCACACTCAATTGGTGATGCTCAATTTATAACTGATCACTTCACTTGTGCAGTCAATTGTTTTGGTTTCACAATCAGCCTGAAGAAAACTGAAGTATTGTACCAAACAGTATCAGGTGATGCACATCTTTACCCAATTATTAAGATAAACACTGCTCCGATGAAGTGAGCTGTAGCTCACGAAAGCTCATGCTCAAATAAATTGGTTAGTCTCTAAGGTGCCACAAGTACTCCTTTTCTTCTTACTGCTCCTCTTGTCTCTGTGGTGAAGTTTTGCTACCTGGGGAGTTTGCTGTCACAGAATGCCACAATTGATGAAAACATGATCCATCATATAGTCAAGGCGAGCTCTACACTTGTGATGCCAGTCCTGAAACACTGTGAAAGAAAACTCTTTTACCAATAGGTGAGTGAAGCCATGAAATCTAATTAATGCTATATGTTAACAAGGGCAGCATTCGCTTGTGGAAAAGGCCTATTCAACATCCTGTGTTATTCCATCGTAGGGAGAAAATGCTCAAACTCTATGGTTTGCTTTCCTATTTTCAAACCATTTCTTATCAAGATAAACATTATTGCTGTTTTTATGAGAAAATAACTGTGACTACTGGGTTTACTGCACGATAGATGCAGTTTACTGCACGATAGATAGGGTCACACTCTCTTCTGGGTTAGTTCTCTTGATTTCAATGGACTTATGCCATCAGAGAATTTTTCCTGTAATAAATAAAGGGTTGAGAGTCATCCAGGAGAACACTTTCAAATCTATCTTCTTTAGAAACTTGCATCTGTTTTAAGGATCACATTGTTGAGCCAGGGTGGGAAGGGCCTGAGCTGGAAAAGAAGTCCAGTTTGGAGCCTCACACTACAAGAAGGATGTGGAAAAATTGGAAAGCATCCAGCGGAGGGCAACAAAAATGATTAGGGGACTGGAACACATGACTTATGAGGAGAGGCTGAGGGAACTGGGATTGTTTAGTCTTTTAAGGTTTTTAAGGTCAGTCTTGATAAAGCTCTGGCTAGGATGATTTAGTTGGAGATCGGTCCTGCTTTGAGCAGGGGATAGGACTAGATGACCTCCTGAGGTCCCTTCCAACCCTGATATTCTATGATTCTTTGATTCTGGTTGATTCCACTGGATTTCCTCTTGGGGTTCAGTGACTGTGTGAGCAGGAGAGGCAGATCTGGTTGAAAGAGTGCAGAGTGGGTTCCCTTCCACACGAGGAGTTAAGAGCTGCACGTGAAGAGCTGCACACAGGGAAGCCATTTAGAGTGCACAGCAACAAGAAGTTTTACTAGACCTTCAAAATCCAGGATCTATGCTGCATAGTCTTGCATGCCATCTACTAGCATTTGACCTATTAACTGTTTATCGATATATAGGAATCTCTCTTTTCTAGAGCACTCCTGTAACAACAGGCTAGTCTGGAGCAGGGTTGTACCGTGGCCTCTTCCTTCCCCACATCTCTGTAAGAAAGCTAGCTGAACAGGCAGCGCTGTCCAGGAGCGGTGCCACCACTTCCCAGAAGGATTACATACAGTCCAGCCCCACGTTTTCGGCTTATCATTACTTTGAATTGCTGTTTCCAATCACTGTTACAAATGTTCTGACTCTCATTATCCATCGGTTACTACTGCTTGATTCTGAGGTCAGGCATTGTTATAGATCTTAGAGGTACCACCTTTAAAAGGAGCAGTGAGTAATGAGTGCAGATTTATCCCTTTGGACATCCACTGGGCACATCCATCACCTCGGATTACCTTCACTGAACATTCTGTACTGACAGATGGCTGAAAGCACGTCTATCTGGCTCTAAAGAAAAAAAGCATGAAAGCAGAAGTCTGGAAGTGTCCTCTGGGAGGACTTCATTCCTTTCATTCTTTCCAGATCTCTTCATTTCTTTGCTCTCTGAATAAAGGCAATAGCTAATAGTTTCTTTTGTTGGACAAGGGTTAAGTTTTCTCCTGTGTTATCTGGGTGAATCGTAAATATAATTAATGACAAGTTCAGTCTGTGAACCACACCCTACTAGGGTGAACAGGAATCTAGAAGGAAGTAAGGTCTCTCCTTGTTTGTAGCAATCAATGAGTTCTCAAAATTTTTCAGTCTGAGATGGCAGAGCTGTTGCCATCTTGTCATGGGCTAAGAGCTCCCAGGTGTTGAGGTCAATTTTGAAAGGTTGGAAGTTGGTCTTGAGAGAGAGTCTTTGTAATGTTTGCTTGGTCTGCTCCTAAAACGAGTTCCAATCTTCAATTCTTTGTAAAAGATTGTTTTCGGTATTCTACTGTCAGACGTACAGACCACATGACTGTACCATCTTAGCTGCACTCTTACTATGAAAGCTTCAGTGCCTGTGATCTTGAGGCATTCAAGGACCTTGGTGTTTAGAATTAAATCATAGAATCATAGAATATCAGGGTTGGAAGGGACCCCAGAAGGTCATCTAGTCCAACCCCCTGCTCAAAGCAGGACCAATTCCCAGTTAAATCATCCCAGCCAGGGCTTTGTCAAGCCTGACCTTAAAAACCTCTAAGGAAGGAGATTCTACCACCTCCCTAGGTAACACATTCCAGTGTTTCACCACCCTCTTAGTGAAAAAGTTTTTCCTAATATCCAATCTAAACCTCCCCCACTGCAACTTGAGACCATTACTCCTCTTTCTGTCATCTGCTACCATTGAGAACAGTCTAGAGCCATCCTCTTTGGAACCCCCTTTCAGGTAGTTGAAAGCAGCTATCAAATCCCCCCTCATTCTTCTCTTCTGCAGGCTAAACAATCCCAGCTCCCTCAGCCTCTCCTCATAACTCATGTGTTCCAGTCCCCTAATCATTTTTGTTGCCCTTCGCTGGACTCTCTCCAATTTATCCACATCCTTCTTGAAGTGTGGGGCCCAAAACTGGACACAGTACTCCAGATGAGGCCTCACCAATGTCGAATAGAGGGGAACGATCACGTCCCTCGATCTGCTCGCTATGCCCCTACTTATACATCCCAAAATGCCATTGGCCTTCTTGGCAACAAGGGCACACTGCTGGCTCATATCCAGCTTCTCGTCCACTGTCACCCCTAGGTCCTTTTCCGCAGAACTGCTGCCTAGCCATTCGGTCCCTAGTCTGTAGCTGTGCATTGGGTTCTTCCGTCCTAAGTGCAGGACCCTGCACTTATCCTTATTGAACCTCATCAGATTTCTTTTGGCCCAATCCTCCAATTTGTCTAGGTCTTTCTGTATCCTATCCCTCCCCTCCAGCGTATCTACCACTCCTCCCAGTTTAGTATCATCCGCAAATTTGCTGAGAGTGCAATCCACACCATCCTCCAGATCATTTATGAAGATATTGAACAAAACCGGCCCCAGGACCGACCCTTGGGGTACTCCACTTGATACCAGCTGCCAACTAGATATGGAGCCATTGATCACTACCCTTGCCATTTAATTGCCATTATTCACCATAGACATTGTAGTTGGGATTGGTCCAAGCAATTTAGGTGGTGTTGATAAGTAATTCACATATTGCAGCCATAGAGGAAAGTGGTAATGACAATAGAACTGTAAACATCAATTTTCATTCCCAGTCTGACAGCATATTCATTCCAGAGATGACACTGGTGATTTCTGAAGGCCTCGTAGCCTGCGCCAATGAACTTTGTAATGTTGTCAATTATTGCATCCCATGAAATGATACTCCCTAGGATGCAAAATTTGTCACCAACTTTGAGTGGTACATCATTGACAGACCCAACTGGAATAGTTGCAGTACTTCTCAGTTGAGACTGGACCATGACTTCTGTCATCTTCAGGCTGATTGTTAAACCAAAATGTTTTCCTGCATGTGCAAAGCAGCCAGAGAGCAACTGAATGGTCCTGAGGTTATGGGCCAATAAAGCACAATCACCAACTAACAGTAATTTACGAATAGTTGTCTTTATAACTTTTCTCTTCGCATGCAGGCAATAAGTCACCTCCATCCATACGGTATTGCATATAAATGCCACAACCAATGTCTCTGAATTCCTCTATTAAAACATCAGCAAAACATGATGCTAAATAACATTGGAACAAGAACACAGCGTTGTTTTATTCCATCAGTGACAACAAAGGCAGCTGAGAAGCAGTCTTGGTCAAGGACACAAACTGCATTCCTGTGTGAAAAGATTTAATAATGTTGACAAACTTATCAGGGCAACCAAATTTGCAGATGTCTGTCCACAGACCATCTCGATTTACAGTGTCAAAGGCCCTAGTAAGGTCAAAAGAAACAACATATAGGTCTTAATAGTGCTCACAACATTTCTCCTGACT